CCCCCCCCACACCATGAGGACCGCAGAGTTCGGGCGACTTTGCCGCCTTCACAGACGGTGGCCCCAGGGGGTCTGTGCTCAGCCAGCGCCGGGTGGTGGGGGGCGCCGCAGACTCTCTGTTCTTACCACAGTGCTAGCAGGCTTCAGGTGTGGTGTTCACCTTTGGTTCACGTCCAGAGCCCTGAAATGGCTGTTTTGACCAGTGTTCCGTTCTGCACGTGTTCAGGGGAGGACGTGCTGACGTCTGTACCGTACTGAACAGCCCGTGCAGCCTGGTTCTCGTGTTCTTCTCCCAGCCCGGGGAAACCGGGAGGAAAGAGAGGCTCAGCCCGGCCCGCCAGCGCCCTCTTGGGGACCTGGAGCAGGCCCTGCCTGTGACTCCGCAGGGTGGCTGCAGCGTCTGTCACCTCCTGTCACCTCCTGTCATCTCTCCGCAGTTTGTGCTGAAGCACGAGGCTCTCGCTCACCTCCGAGAAGTGGCGCTCTTCCCTAACACCCTGAACCCCCATGAGGCGGAGTCCCTGGCTCTGGTGGGAGCCATGATCAGCCAGGTCATGGAGCTGCACCCGGGCGCCCGGTGGCTCCACGTCGGCTGCGACGAGGTGGGTCCTTCGACGGTTCTTCTGCCTGAGCCTCACCCACCGGGCGTCCCTCCTGCCGCAGCCCCTGCTCCTGGTCCCACTTTGTGGGTTATTCTCTTACGTACAAAAGTAGTCAACGTACCAAAGGACGAAGGATAAAGCCAGGTCATCCCTCCCAGCTGACCCGTGACCTCATGCGGGCAGAGCCATGGAGCTGGACGAAGGATGGCCTGTGGCCCGAGACAGCCGTGCTGTCCTCGCCCCCGGCAGGGGCAGAGCCAGTCCCCATGTGCTCTATGTACTCGTTGGCTGGCAGACACTCAGGTTAGCTCGCCTTCAGGCTGCTGTGAATGTTCAGAGGAAATCTTGAGTGGGAGTTAGGTCTCGGTGTAGCGGGAGGGCCCCCCTCACCAGCTCCTCCCCACAGGCAGCTGCCACTGAGATCCATCAGCCATGGCATGAGCGCGGTCTCTCTCCCAAGTGTGTCTGCAGTGAGGCCGGGCGATCCGGAGGCGGGCCTGTGTTTCCTTCCAGGTCTATTATCTTGGAGAGGGTGAGGCCTCGAGACGGTGGCTGCGACAGGAGCATAACACCAAAGCAAGACTGTGTCTGTCCCACATGAAGGCGGTGGCCTGCCACGTGCTGGCCCGGCACCCCGCCACGACGCCACTGGTGTGGGACGACATGCTGCGGGCCATCCCCGAGGACCAGCTCTCAGGTTGGCAGGCCCATCCCCCAGGCTTCTGGTGCCAGGAGTAAGGAGGCCAGCGGCTCCCAGACCCTGGTCTGGGGAGGGAGGAGCACTCTAGGACCCCTGCCCCGAAGTGCTCTCTCCAGGCAACCCCCTTAGAGCCACTTTCTAGATTTTCTCACACAAAAGGGCCATTCCTCCAGAAGGCATTTTAGAGTCTTGTAGGCGTACAAAGTGGTGAGTCTGAATGGAGAGTAGCCATGGGGCCCTAATGGGGGATGGGGGCGAAAGGGTCCCACTGGGCCTTGAGTGTCTGGTGCCTCTAACCGCCTCAGCCTCACACAACCCTGTGGCCAGCCCTGCAGGGGTCGTGGCTGAGGCTCTGGGATGAGACAGAGACGTACCCCATGGTCCAGTCACAGCCTCGGCCTAGAGCCTAGCCACTGCCCCCACTTCTGCAGGACTGGGGTGTGTCCGTGGCAGCAGCCCTCCCCAGGTGTGGCCACTAGGGTTCTCACTAGGACTAATTAGAATTAAATCCAAGTAGTAATGTGTTCCTACTGCACTAGTCCTAGCGCCCCCACCGTCACACACAGACAGAGCCTTTCCCCCTCGTAGGAAGCTCTGGGACCCCGAGACTGGGGGTTCGCTTTTTACAGAACTCCCAGAGTCTGGTCATTTCCAAAGTTGGCTGGCTTCACGGTTGCAACATTTACTGTCAAGAACTCAACTGTTTCGAGTCTGTTCTCAAAATCCACAGCCCGCTGGGGCGCCTGGGTGGCTCAGTCAGTTAAGCTTCTGACTTCGGCTCAGGTCATGATCTCACGGTCTGTGAGTTCGAGCCCCGCGTCGGGCTCTGTGCTGACAGCTCGGAGCCTGGAGCCCGCTTCGGATTCTGTGTCTCCCTCTCTCTCAGCCCCTCCCATAGAGCCCATGCTCTATCTCTCTCTGTTTCTCAATAATAAATGTTAAAAAAAAAAAAAAAAACAAAAAAACTCACGCCCCCTAAACAAGACAGGCTGTGCTCCGTTGTAATGCAAGGCCTATGGGCAGCCAGGATGTGTCCAGACGGGCCTCAGCTCACAGCCTCTCTCTGCCCCCAGCATCAGGGGTGCCACAGCTGGTGGAGCCCGTGCTCTGGGACTACGGGGCCGACCTGGACATCCACGGCAAAGGTCAGTGACCTGGCCACGGCCTCTGAGACCCTGGAGCCCTGGCAGCCCAGGGGCTTGAGGTTCATCAGAATCCTGCTAACTGCCTCAGCTTCCACTCAGGCCCCTCCCACGGGAGCCCCGGGAGCCCCCTGGCACATGTCCCGTCGCGGGTCACACCGGGATAGCCTGTCCTCTGTGGTATTTTCCACGAGTCTCTTCTCTCACTGAGATTTAAGCCTGCCCGGTTGTGGGCTCCTCCTGGCTTCTCAGTGTCTGGGCTCTGCGGCCACGGCCCCTCGGGCCCCGGGCCGGTCACACCGCACACTCTCTCACTCAGCTCTCCTCATGGAAAAGTACCGCAGGTGCGGTTTTCTCCGGCTGTGGGCCGCCAGTGCCTTCAAGGGGGCCACAGGGGCGAGCCAGGCCCTGACCCCTATCGAGCACCACCTCAGAAACAATGTGCAGTGGCTGCAGGTGGCGGCCAGCGGGCCCGCAGACATGCTGCAGGGCATCGTCCTGACCGGCTGGCAGAGGTAAGGCCACACAGGCCCCGGGGAAGCTCCCGGGCCGACCTGCTCGGAGGGTCAACGCAGCGCTGCTGCCCGGGACGACCACCCCTCCGTGGCCCATCCATTCTGGGCCTCAGTCAGAGGGGAGGCGCCTGGGCGCCTCACACCCCACGGCCAGCCAGCCCCCAGACTCTGCAGAGGGCCACTTCAGCAGCCCCGCCTCCAGGGGACCACACGTGACTCGTCTCACGTATGGCGGGCATGGGGACAGATTTTGGCTCCTTGGGGATTTCACACCATTTGAAAAGCGGAGCGGCACGTGAACCCCTCCTCCGGACCAAGGCCTGGTCCATTGCTGCGCCCGGGAGGGCAGAGGCGGAGGCAGCTGCGGGCCCCCAGGCAGGGCCTTCTGGGTGGGATGTTTCCAGAGGCAGCAGCCAGCTCGGTCTCGTGTGCAAGCAGGAGCTGAGCGCCCCTCTCCCCTGCACTTAGGTACGATCACTTCTCCGTGCTGTGCGAGTTGCTGCCCGTGGGAATCCCATCCCTGGCCGTCTGTCTGCAGTCGCTCCTACACGGTACGGTCTCCTGCTCCTCCCAGGCGGCGGGAGTGCCTGATGCCGCCGACTGTATCTCCTTGGGGCCGGACTCTGGTCTTTCACACCAGCAGAGGGGGGCTCAGCCACCCCCCCCCCACCCTGCTGCCCCCAGAGAGCCCGTGAAGGAAATTCACCATGGGCGAGGTGCAGAAAAGGGCCCTTGCTATGTAAATCCACTGAATGCCCAGGCTGGCCCCGGCACTTGCCACTTTGGCAGAGACGGGGACTCGCAGGTGGCACAGAACCATGTGCACCTGAACCACAGGACTGCTTGGCGCACGTGGTGCTGGTGCAGAGAGGCGTGGGAGGCCCTGGGGGGAGCAGGCCCGGCTCCCAGACTGCGTGCAGGCTGCCTGCAGCAGGAAAAGCACAGACACCCGCCCTCCGCTCTATTCGATGGCTTCTGAAGCGGTGGTTGTGAACCGCTAGGAGGAAGGCACAGGGACACCCCAGCGGACACCCCGTTCATGCTGGGCGCTGGCTTCAGCTTCCCTGCTCCGTGGAGGGCACTGCTGCTGTGGAGCCCTCCACCCTCCGCGGACACAGGCCTCCTGCCCTCCCAGCTAGCGCCCTCCTGCACCAGTGGCATGTGTCCACCCACACTGACGTGGAGCCCGGCCCACAGTGGTGCCTGCAGGCCTCTCTGGTTCTTTCTCGGGACGGCTCCTCGTGTGAGAAACCACACTTGCCGGGTGCTGCGTGCACCCGGGACACCGTGGGGGCGCCGGAGGCACAGCCAGCAGTCTCCCGAGGGGTGTCGCTGCTCTTGATTCTCTGTTTTCTTGTTCTTAGCATAATGAGCCCGTTTTCATGTGTTTAATAAGAAGCCACGGGCCCATCTGTCCCCGAGGTCTCCTTGGGGCTGGCACCTGCATGCTGGCCTCCTTGGCCACTTTGCCCACCACCAGGCCAGCACCGTGGCACAGGGCCCCTGCCTCGCTCCCCTCCGGAGGCCCCTCCAACCACCTCCATCTGTGGTTGGTTGCAGGAGGCTTTACCGAAGACGTTAAAGCAAGAGTGGAGAACTTTCTTGGGATCTCAAGCCTAGAAATAACTGATCTTATGAGGTAACCTGCCCACCCCCAGCCCTGCCTCTGCCCTCGCACTCTGTGGACCCGTCTCAGCACGGTGGCTCTCCGTGCAGCGAGGGGGCCGGCTCCTTCCCCGGCAGCGACATCCTGGCCCTCGTCACGCACGTCGGCCTCCACCTGCGCAGCTCTGTGGACACGCTCCTGGAGAGGGACAGGTGAGCAGGCAGGGGCTGAGCCCCACCCCGCACTCCCCCCGGGACAGGGTGAGGGTGGTCACAGACAGACTTCCGGGGGCAAGCAACTGTTTAAAATGCCTCCCAGACTCCTAAGTTTTTTACAAGTATGATCTTAAAACCACCGTGAGGCAGACACGTCAGCTGCAGCGGGTCTGCCTGTGCGGACTGCCTGCAGGTACGTGACCGGCTGGTTCAGCCCCTATCACCGCGGGCGGAAGCTCATCCACCCGGTCATGGTCCAGCACATCCAGCCCCAGGCGCTCAGGTAGCCGCCCCCTCCCCGCGGTGCCCACCCCCAGGGCTGCGCGTCCTCTGCCGCCTGATGACAGCTTTCTGTGGCTACTGGCTTTGAACTAAGACAAGCTCTGTAGGTATCGCAGCCACGAATTCCTAGGTGAGTCAGCTTTGCTGACTGCTGTGCCTTCAGTGTCAGAGGCTAGGCCATTCCCACCTGAGAAGGTGAGGGCCCAGGGCTCATCATGGAGCCAGACCTGCTGGAGACCTGTCCTGGCCTTGCTGCTGCCGCATGCCCCA